GCACTTCTCCTTCCCTTGCCACCCATTCCTGTATCTCAGAGAGGACGCGCCATTCTCTGGAGGCATCTGGGACCAAGAGGGCGGAGCACAGAGCCCTCCCTGGACACCCCTATTTCCCCAAGGTGCCAGCTGGGAAGAAGAGGTGTCATCAGCAGGGCCATCTTGGTCTTCCTCTACCACAAACAAGGAAGGAAAAGCACCCGCAGGGAGGAGACGGGGCCTGAAGGAGGGCTGGGGAAGAACCGGACGCCGGCAGCTTCCCAGCGCTTCACCCTCGGCCTGGGCGAGCTGCCTCTTTGCTAGGCTGCAGCTACACTCTCTGGCTTGAATTGCTCCAGGACAGCCTTTCTGGTGGTTGGGTTGCATTATAGCTCCCATCATCCCCAGCCAGGATGAAGGCACCAAGTAGGGGAAGACGTGGCAAATGCTGCAAAATTCACGAGGAAGAAAAGGTTCCCAGAAAACCCAAAGCATCGTGCCCCTCACCCCCACATCAAAGTCTGTGGGGGGGGGGGGGGGGAATACACATCAAGGCATGGGGCTTTCGCTGGCCCAGCAGCAGGACTTCTGGGAGCCCTGGACAGATGGAAAAGATGATACGGCATTACCATGGGGCGGGGGGGATAGTATACTTACACAGGTACTCTGTCTGCTTTTAAACGGGAACTCGTTTTCTTCATTCTAACAATGGAGGCAAATGGTCAGACACAGACACTAGCCTACCAGCTCGGTGGGGAACAGAACACAGGGCTGCCAAGCACCAGGCTTCTGCAGAGGGAAACACAAGCTCAGAAACGACCAAACGTGGAGTAGCAACCATTGGGTTTTTTATTTCCTTCCACTGATTTTTCTCAGTGTCCCCAGAGGATCGTCTCTCTACCCCGGGAGGTTTGAAGTGGGGGCGGGGGATAGTCCCAACCTGCAGCCCCTTGAGTGGGTAGGAGAGAGGGGCCCGAGGGACTTTGTGCCAAGGCTGGCCAGACCTGGACCACGAGAGTCAGCAGCATTAGGCTCCTTCTCTCCTCCCTCCCCATTTTTAAACCATTTTTGGCAGCCACGCAATGCGCCTCAT